TCTGTTTCCTTTCCTTACCACATAGAGTGTTAACTGGTGTGGGAAGTGTTATTTCCTTAAGGACAAATCCTCCTAGTATTTCACATTTTACTTGACAGGAACCCCTTCACCTTCCAATTTCAAATGAATACGTTTCATTAGAAATGTTTCATATTTCTTGTGCAACTAATTCCAACAAGAATGTTTATCTTCATTGAATTGTTTGCATTTACTATCAAAATAAATAAAAAAAATATTAAGTGTAAATGGCATTTCCCCATGGGCTGCCTCATAAAAACAAACAAACAAGCAAATATGCAAACAAACAAAAAGCAAATGAAATCCAACCAGCTTTCTGGCAAGAGGAAAATTGTATGGGTAAAAATATCTGCTTGCTTGATTCCACATGCAGCTCTTTTTCAAGGGATGGAAATGCTTCATTGTGGAGCATACAGGCAGAACCTGATTATGTGAAGCTAGACTGTGGGGCTGTAATACGTGTTGACAAGCACTTTCTCGGGAGGTGCAATGACCTAAGTAAATGCCCACCAACACGAATAAGGTCTCCACAGTTTCACCTGCTTATTAATACACTTATAGGCTGAACTCTATTGTACACACGAATTTACAAGCAGAAAGAGCTAAATATATGGAAATGGGGTAAGCATGCAAGTCTGAATACAGGTTATTTCCAGGAGTAAGTTCACTTCCACAAAACTTACATTCACCCAGCATTTTTGTGAGGTTCATCCCATCATGCAGGGATGAACATGACCAAAATACAATAGTTTTTCTTAAATTTGTGCCTATCAGCATAGGAAAGATCATGGGTAATACAACATATATACCTAAGGATTAAAATATTTAATTGTCAAGCCCGCTTACAGAATGTTTAATCCTGTTTCTGAAATGGGGAAGGGAAAACAGGGACACTATTAAGATACAGTGTACACAAACATGAAATGTGGACTGAAACTATTGGATGTCAGTTGCATTTGGAAAAAATTTACTGGGAGCTAAGGCAAGAATCACTTTAGCTGTCTGCTAGTTCAATAATTTGAGATGTTTTACAATATGAATTCTCTGAATGGAATGTTGCCAATCCAACTGAACTAGCAGCAATGGCCTTGAAACACTACTAGGTGGAAGAGCCTGGTTTCACAGGTGCCTCACTGAGCTGCTTTGAACGTCAGTGCCTCTAAATGGTCCAACAGTTGGACACAACATGTGGCTGGGAGTTATAATCTTGCATGGCAGAATGGCTAGAGCACCTCTCCTTCAATGTTTAGGTTAGGCCTAATCTGTCTGTAGCCCTGTAGAAAAAATATTTTCTAGGAAAATGAGAGTGCAAGGGCCACCACACATTCAAAGTCTGTTCTTGAAGTAGGGGGTCCTGTACTAGGGATTTTTTTGTGGTTCTTCTTTTGTCGGTTTTGCCTCTGTATTAATTTCATTTGATTTCTGATTATAAGCATTGACCCCTGAGGGAAAAAATCTTGCTGTTTATATGTTGTGCTTTCTGCTGAGTTGTTCTGTCATGGTAGGAAAGGCTGGAACGCCCCTTGTACTCCAAGACACACTCAAGTAGGAATATGGGCACCCTCTGTTTCACGTATTTCCACTGCCACCTTCACTTCTCTTTTTATCTTTTCTCTGTGCTGTTTTTTCACCCTGCCAACATATGGATGGAAACTACGCCCATTGTTGTTCCCACTAGTTTATTTTATTGCTTTTCTTATTTGAGTATGTCTCCTTATGCTGAACACAACTCAGTAGCACTTTTAATGGAGGAAAAATGAGTTTCCTCACATCTGTACTCCTTTATGGTTTAGGGCAAGTAGCAGATAGAGAATCCCTCTTAAAAACTAGTTTTTATGTAATCAACCACGATGGTTTAATGAAAGGGCCCAAATATTTTTTAAGCATTTTCCTGTTACTATTAATAATAATGTACTTTCTCCAAGGTTCTAATTTGGTTTTGGCTAAAAAACTGTGTGGTTGCTACCTTCCCTGTTACAGTTCAGTGTCTTCCCAAGAAAAGACCCAGCTGGTGAAATCTTGTTGCTGTTTTTGTTAGAATACAAACTCTCTTCTAAAATATTGTTTTGACCTCTTCTGTTCTCCAGCTTTTTTCAGAGCTTTTACAATGACACCGAAGTAAGTCCAGAGTGTGTTTTTGCCAGGTTGTCATCCCTGGACTGAGGTCTGTAGGAGTAGTCTGCTTTCTTGTGGCAGTAACCAAACACATATTTTGCCAATGGAACTAATTCCTTTCTTTTGCAAAACTTCTGTGTGCTTTGAGAAATTTTGTGGATTGCTGGCTAGTAAACTTTCATGCTGAACAGTCATGCATGTATGTGTATGTGTAAAACAAAGACAGGAGAAATATCCTACAAAATTCAGAAGTTTCAATATGGCAACTGTCCTAGTCCACTTTGAGACTCCTTTATGTATGATGAAGTAGTAATTTAACATAATAATAAGATGAAGGTCAATTTCTTTAGATGTTCTTTAAGAAGTCCTCTTTTTCTCACTATCCATGGATGCAGAGATAATGCAACAAGGATGCTAGCACAGACTGTTTCAGCATTTACTCTTTCCCAGCACATGGTGCTTGATAATAGCATCCTGTTGATCTTTGTCCTCTGTATTTGGCTCTGTAAAAATCTGTTAGGAAACAGTTGTAGTGCTGGGGACTGATGAAGCCGTAGGATGCTGCTGTATCTTTATTTCAACCAGAGATTTTATGAAGGTATTAAAGGGTTATTTCTTATCTCTAAGTCTAAGGTTTCATTCCCCAATGCCATCAAACTAACACCTTTCTTTAGTATAATACATACATGCCTTTGCAAATATTTTAAAAACAGTCATCAATCATGTGTTGTAACAGAAGACTAACCAACAAGAAGTAGACTTCCTTGCTTATTCTCCAAGGGTGGAATTCAATTATGCAGAGGAACAAAACAAGGTCTATGTGCCATCCAAGTCCCTCGTAGTCCTGTTTGTGCTGACTCTTTACACACGGGTAGACTCTACCACAAAGAAAATATTTCTGTGTGATGTCCGAGTGCCACAATCAATTAAATTTTGTCTGTGGGACCCCTGTCAGTATTGTATGTGGAAGATGGAAGACATGCCAAGAGGAGTTTAATGCCCAGTGGGCCTGGCTCATGCCCAGCTGAAGTCAGTGGAACTTTTACCACTCCTTCCAAAATCAACAGAATGGCTCATCTACTCACTCCCTATTTCTCTTGCTAAGGCACAGTTCTCTGATATTTTCAGGCACTCGTACTCTTCAGCTTGGAATCCCTACAAGGTTGGGTTTCATAACAAAAGGCAGCCGTCATTCTTATAAATTCGAGTAGACAGAAGATAGCAAGGTGAGTAATTTTTTTTCCTTTGCTAATCTTGATAGGATGCTGCAGGTTTGCCAAAGATTACTTGAGGTTTCCATGGATAAGGTGTGAGTGAAGACTGCAGCAGTTTGAAGCAAACTAGGATGTTGTTTTTGTAGGTTTTTTTCTTAATTCACTGGAAAGGACAAAATGCACGTGCAGCACTATCCTAGAGCCACTCCCTCAGCTGTTTGCATTTTAACAGTGAGTGTCATCTCCTTAAAAATGCTTGATGTTATCCTCAGTAAAAGAATCCTTGTAGTCCGAAGCAGTCTGTTGTTCCAGAAACGTTCCCATATCCTTGTAGAGATCTTACAGCACCTTGCAGACCTGACACAGAGCCTTTGAAGTAAACAGAAAGTCTCAGTGGCCTCAAGGGTTTAGTTAGGGAGCCCTGTGGACTGCACAAGACAGGTAACACCATCAAAAGTACCTAATAACTACTGACAGTCAGTAGGTCTTAGTCTCCAAATCACTTGAATGACTCTGAAAATATTTATCCCAGGGCTGGCTATACATTCTTAGCAGTACAGAGCACATAAATGGTACTCAATGAATAATATAAAAGTTCTTCTAAGTACAAAAATATCTCTGTTCAGGAAAATTATAATTTTATGCTTTGCTATTTCTTTTTTGTCAATGTTTTTGTGAGCATCCCTTTGGCTATAGTATTTGCTTAAAGTACAAATATGTACTATGTGTCAAAATAAAATATTTATTGAATACATTTACTTTGTGTCTGTTGAGTTATAGGTGGATTCTGAAGTGCTTCTTTGCTGCACCTGATGAAGCCATTTTACATTCTCTCTTGGCTAGAGACAATGAAAATTTGAAGCCTCACAGTTCTGCAAAAAGAAATGTTTGAAGAGAATTTGAGTTGAAATTTATCACAAACATTCACTTTTGCTGTCACTCCAGGACCAGCCACAGGATTGCATAAAACCAAGGGTTTTTAAGGGTAGGGATAGTTGTCTCTACCAACACCAGTTGTAATTTGTAGGTGGGCTGATATGAAATGGTACTGCAGACTGGTGAGCAACTTGTCCAAGGATGTTTGGGGTGGACTATGGCTTTCCTGATGTCCACAGAGAGGGCAAAGCACATAGTCTTGGTTTCTTTTCTTCTCTCTTTTTGCAATAATTCAAGGAGAAGAGTGTGAGCCAGTGGAGGACTGAGTCTCTTACACCATGGCCTGCATCACCCAGATGCAAAAATGGGTTTTGTAGATGACTGTGACATCATTGAAGAAAAGTAACACTATGATCTCTGAGAAGAAAAGAGAATGTACCTTTCCCAAGCTCCAGGGAGTCTTCATGGCAGCTAGGAAATTGAAGAAATTTCTGGCACTGGCAGAAGTTCAAAAAACAGCCTAGGGACCTAAGTGGTCCTTCCTGTCAGAGAAATTTACTCCTAGACAGAGGAGCAAGCTGGTATTCAGACACTGACAGCAGCAGATACTCATATTGGGTTTGCCTGATTGAAGGTGATGTGGTTGATGATAGCTCATCAGGAAGCAGGAGGGCACCCTCCCAGAGCCTCATTGTCCATGTAAGCACCACCAAAGTGGAGGTGGGCATTGAAAACTCAGACCTTGGCTTTGTGTGAGACTCCCATGCAAGACACCAGGCACTGCAGCTATTGCCATCTTCTGTGGTTACTTCACAAGGTGTCCTGCTGTCCTCGCTCCATGTCTTTCCCTGAGCATCTGTTAGAAGTGGCAGCTGTGATGCACCTTAAGCCTCCTGCAAAAGGTGAAGGACAAACAAAGACATTGTTATCAAGTCGTGTGCTTTAATTTGGATTAAAACTGTAAAACTTCGGGCACAGTTTTTCAAGGAGAATCTATGAATGACTAAGTGGGCCTGTGCACAGACTCATAACCAAAGGGTTTGTGAATGGGGAGGTTAAGTTCATTGTAGCTGTCTCTTTGTTAAGTGATTGGGTCCTTTGAATATGTAAGCAATATATTATGAGGCCTAGAACAAGTAAAATTAGATGGGTATTCAGTTTAGGTAGGATCTCCTTTGTTTTTGTCTGTAAGTGGTGAAGAGACATACAGGATCCTCTTGGTTCTGGACCCACTCTGGATTTCTTTTGGTGGTTGCTCAACTCCTCTTACTGTCTATAAACAGAATCTGAGGAGATTGTCTTTTGTCAGAGTTACATATGTGCATGAAGTTATATGGTGTCACAGTTCCATTTAGTTTTTCTGTATGAAGATTTAGAAGAACAGAGAACCTAAAAAATGCCAATTTCTTATCTACTGGATTTAAATTAAGAATACGGGGATCCGTGCCTCAAATAATCCGGTTCATACAGTTCAAACACATTCTGCAACTCGAAAAAGAAAGACCCAATTCAACAACTACCCAATTCCTCACCCCATTACAATTGTTGCAATGCAATTATGTTAAATCCAACACAGGAAACCAACTATTTTTACTGATACAGTGGAATATTGACTGCTAGAGAGTGAGAATAGAGGTCTACCAAGCCAAAGAGAGCAAATGATGACTGGTCCTTCAGATAACTCTAATTTCTGTAAAAGCAAATATCAACCCTTTCTTTTATCTTTGTGTATCATATCATACAGAAAGAGGTCTTGACATTCTTTGAAAGCTACTCAGAAACCTCCACATGAGCTGTGCATAAAGAGCTAGCACATAAAAAGTCTTTAAAAACAATTCTGCAACCATGGCTAGATCCACTGGGATCAAATAAGGTAGTCTTTAATTATAGCCCCCCTGAAAAGCTATGCATAAGCAGAATGTTTCCAGAATTTGGCTATACCTTGAGACCTGTTTTTGAAGACAAGCCTTTCGCATGTTTTAAATGGGATTTAGCCAGTTTAAACGGATGAGCTTTAAATTGCTCATCCCAGTTGCCTTTATGATCATAACCAAAGATGTTGTATGACTGATTTTTTAAAAATTTAACATATGTGCACACTTTGTGGGCAGACTTATCCTATTGAAATAAAAACACTTCTGTGAAAAGTTAAGCATGTCCATAAGTTTTTGCAGGATGGGCCTGATTTTGTGAAAATGTACTGAAAAACCTGTGTAGTACTTCCTAAGTTCACTTCTATCAGAAAGCATGTTAGAGCCTATGTGTATTGGCGTGGAATTGCACTGTTAACTGTATAAAAAATAGCATTTTCTTGCAAAAAATTTCCTGGTTGTTTTAGGAGATTTTTTTTCTTTGACAGAAAATGTATTGATCTGATCCTGGGAAAGTGACTGTAGTGCTCAACAGAACAGTTCCTGCCACATAATTTTGATGTTCATAAGGTTGTGTAATATTTCATATGAAAAGCCTCTGTCAACTTCTACTGACTGCTGAATCTTAAAATGATTCATCCACACAAATGTATTTTTCAGGAAGGCTTCTGAAGCAGGAGACTGACCTCACTGCAAAATACAATTTAATTAAACATATGTTGATTATAAAAGTATGTACATATCTCTATATATTTCTTTTCTCTTTTCTGATTTATTTTTTAACTCACAACGAAATACAGTGTTTAAAATATGAAAAGGAAATTCATGAGAAGTAATATATTTTGAAGTATAAATTTGCAAAAACATGTATTTTTGTGTTGTAACTTTTAATGTTTACATATAACTATAAAATAAGAAAAGTTAATGTGTGAAATAGCTAAAATTGTTACCATTTCTCAGTTCTGAATTAAATAAAGTTTATATTTCAAATAATTGTAGTCCATGTTTGTATCTTCAGATTTCCATCTCAGTAAATTTGAATGTTTTTGCCAGTCAGATTTCCCATACACCAATGGAAAATCTGATTTCTATTCCTGCCTTTTACAATTTCTCTTGATCTTCATGGGAAGAACCATCTGTAATAAACTAGGAGAGGAGAGACTGGTTCCACTGACAGAAATAAAGGTTTTCCCATTAGTTCCCTGAAGTTAGGGGTTTCAGTCTCAAGACATAATTACAGGTAATGATGGACATGTTTAGGTTGGTGTTTAGCCATTGGCTTCAAAGAGGACACATTTCATCCTCAAATGTTTTATTTCAGTAGTGTTTTAAAATATTTGTGTGACTAGATGTATACAAACACATACACCCCCACAGAGGTTCCTCTCACTCACATTTCATGTGGGAGAACACATGGTAGGCTCAGAGTTAAAGCCATGAAGGTGTGCTGTTCTTTGGTTGTCTTTTTTTTTAAACACAGATATAACTTGCATTGAAACTTTCTCTTTTTTTGGTCTTGTGTAGATAAAAAAACATCCCAACCCTTTCATAAAGAAGAAATTTTTCCAGCTTGTCTCTGACTGTGTTGTCAGGACCAGTGTTTCACTCATGTGTGATATGTTTTCCCATAAAGCTTTGATAGGAACTAAACATAGAAACTTTAATTAATTTCTTAGTCCTAAACCAGTCATTATTTTACAAACGTATGGCCAAATTTACTAGTACGTATTACAAAGGTCATTGTGTTGCATAAAGCTACAATTTCTCCAGAAGAGATATATTACTATTTTAAAACATTTTAACCTTTAAGCTAAGCTTACAATTTTGTGACCTGTTGCACGTTTGCTTGTAGTATTCAACTTGAAATCTGAGCAAACTGGAGGTGAGCCCAATCCAAACGTGCCAATCCAAGTGAGACCAATTTGGAAAACTGTATCTAGAAAAAATCAAAATCATAGAATCATAGAATAACCGAGGTTGGAAGTGACCTGAAAATGTAGGTATTTTTTAATATTTCCTCTTAAAGAACAAAAGAAGGCCCAGCACAAGTATTGTACGTCACTAAAGTATCTTCATGTGATTAAATTAAATTGGATTTAAAGTGGCGTAGGGGCCTTGAAATGGTCTGAGAGACTTCACCTTTGCTGACACTGGGGATTGAGCTATGGATCTTCAAAACAAAACACCATAAACTTCTGCAAACTATGAAGACCTGAGAATTTTAGCAGACATTTTCCATGAAATGGCTGTGGATAGAGACAAGAAAAACATCCTGTAGGTACTGGTACGCAGACAGTATAATGTTACTGCAGTAACTGGATGAAACCAAACCCACCAAGCATTGATATGTATTCTAATCAATAATAAGATGAAGCAGAGAAACATCTCCCAGTAGTAACTGAGCCCTTCACTGTATGATTTTCATTGCCGTTTAGAGTCTATGATAAAGAATTTCAGTTCACAGATGCAAAAGCCTTTCAGGAATGATGCTACAAATAAGACACCTCAGATACACTGACTTAATAAAAGCTACTCCTCCTCTAAATGTGAGTTTTGATGTTTCTTCCTTATTTAAGGGCTATTTCTCCCTGTCCACATTCTATTTAGTGCCAAGGAAAAGTCCTGTGCTGCCCAAAAAGATGCCTGTAGATTTTTACTGAGTCTAGTTGTTCCAAGTAGCAGTCTTTGGACATCTCCAGGTCCTGTTAAGTAGTTGTATGTTGTTTCCATAGACCTATTGGGTCATTGATGGTCTTTGACTCTTTTCTTTTATTTTCAGATGCTAAATTAGTTAAAAGAAGAAATGATATAACACCGTCCTAAGATGACTATTCGAAGTGAGCAATTGCTGCTCTAGTTGCCATAGGGATACTGAATGAATGCAGATGAGGTAGGAGATATCCAGAAGGCTCTGTGAACACGAGTTTCTCTTCAGCAGCCCAATGTGATCAAAAGCTGGGAGATTTCTGCACTTCCATAGTGCTGGGGGCAGATGTTGAAATGGCTGTCTGCGGGCTGCACCTTGCTCACCACTGAAAGTGGAACTTGGCTCTTAGGTGCTTTTGAAAACATTACCACAAGTTCCCTAGGAGCAATACTTAGAAACAGCCACTTGCTGCAAGCACTAAAATACCATCAATACTGGATTCATAATAAATCCACGAAGGAAAACTGTGGAAGCTGCATACAGATGAGACCAAGTGGTGTATTTGGGGACTGTAGAGTCTAATTAAAATAAACTAATATTTGGAGAAGAATAACTCCTCCACAGAGGAAGGAGCTATTACATAGAAGGTGTTCAACACTATGACAATCTTTCCATGGAAAAGGACTGACAAGTGAGCTGCCGCCCAAGAACTTTGGTTCTAGTATTATTTATCTTATTGATGATGTGGTGAAAGTGGTCAACTGCACAGAGAATGGTGATCATTTTTAATTTGGTTGTGTATTGGCATGTATTCCAAACAGGACTAAATCAAGGCTCTAGTCATTGCAGATATAACCTATAAATGCATGACATAATAATGCCTAATCCTCAGAAAACACTGACAAACTTAAACGATAACTTGGTGACACACACCAGCACTCACAAACTCTACCTTTGGAGCACCATTTCCTTCTAACCTACTCATAGAAAGAGATAGATCTTATAGCCTAAGGGTCCTCAGATTTATGCTTTCTATAGGAAGGTACAGAAAAACACCGATGACATTTATGACAAGAATCAACTCTGCCCTCAGGTGCTTTTTCACAGTTGTACATGAGGACTGAGTTTAACACTAAATTATTTGGTTAAAAATACACAGAAAAGTACAGTTTCACACTATACATTTTTGACACAGACACAGCTGGTAATTATTAAGGCAGACTAGAGCCTTGGCTATTGTGAATGGATGTATCTTTAGGAAGAAATTCTTTACAGAGAGGGTTATCAGGCATTGGAACGGCCTACCCAGAGAGGTGGTGGATTCACCATCCCTGGAGGTTTTTAAAAAGAGATTGGACGTGGCCCTTAGTACCATGATATAGTAATTGGAGTTGGATCAGGGGTTGGACTTGATGATCTTGGAGGTCTTTTCCAACCCAATCTATTCTATGATTCTATGATTCTATGATCTCAATTGCCTTCAGAGAAATTGTAGTGATTTGCTTCAAGTCACTTAGACTATCAGCTCAGACTTTCAGCTCCCAAAATGCAAATTTGTGCTGGAAAAAAAACATGCTGGCCATGAGTAGGCTGCAAATCTGATGCTCTTTCAAGGTCTATTTTCCCAAGCACTGTGCATTGGATGTATTAACAGTGTAAGATACCCTTGAAAGGATTAACTGTAGATAGTATACCCAAATTTAAGCCAGGATAATTTATTTGAAATAGTGAAGGGTATGAATGGGATTTTATGAGAACAGATGCAAAAACATTCCCCAACTAGATGGAACAAATTAGCAGCTAAGGAGTAAACAGAATGCTTGTGGTTCCCTGATAAATAAATACACAAAATCTGACTTGTCTTGCTCAAGAGTGGACTAGATGACAGTAGTAGCTTCTCTATTCCCACTCATCAAAATACTGTCTGGCCTTCCTATACAACACCTCTAAGCTTAAAGCTCTGCAACTTCTTCTAAAATGTCCTCCCTGTCCTCATTTTTATGGTTATTATAGTATTATTAACACTATGCATTAGTACCTTTCCAAGTTGTCTGATGGAGGTTAATTAATCCCTTTTAAACCACTCAAGACTTAATTGAAATAAACAAACATTATCATATCCATCTTCCAGCTGAAGGAAGTGATTCACAGAAAAGTTAAGTTGCTTCTAAAGTCATAAAACAAGTCAGTAGGCAAATCAGAGGGAGAGGTAAGCAGCCCTGGACTTCTAGACTCCCACTGTAATGATTGCATTAGCCTGACTTCCTAGAACCAGTACGTCTGAATGAGATAATTTTATTCAAAAGAGTTCTCAATTATATTCACATTTAGACTTGATTCCAGTATTACTGTAGCCAGTGGGAACACAGCAGCAGAAGATTTTGGTGCTAATGTACCCTTTCCAATGAAAGGAAAGACAACTGTGAGACAGTGTGGGTGAAATAATTTTCCTAATGGGGTACTTTTTTAAATGTTAGCAGGTGCTAGTATTATAAACTTGCAAGAAAGGCCAGGTGCTGTGTTCGGGTATGATCTCACCTTCCTTGTAAATGAGCCTTTAATTTGTCTCTAATTTCCTTGGTCAGGCACACCCCCCTCCGCCAACTCTCCTGGACTATTCAGCCTTCCCATACCCACAGACAGTGGTAACAATAGGTAATACTGGATACAAGAAGGGTCACTTGACCAGCTCATGCTGTTGCTGTGGACCCTTCCCTGCTTTCCAGTGCCTAATGACAGAGTGTAGGGAAGACAGGGGGGTGGATGAGTGTGGAGAAGGACTGCTGTTACACATGGGTGGTGATGCAGTTCATTCCTCCGGCCTGATGTAGGGGAGAAGGCCCCTGAGATATGATGGTTGTTGCAAGCGACTCCAACCACCAGGAAGCAGAGTGTGCTGCAGGTTCTTTGGGGACAGTGGCCTCTGCAGGAATTATGCAGAGCACCAGCCTCAAACCAACCCTTGGGGCTCCACAATATATCGAAATAACACGGGCAACAGCATTCTGAGAGAGGCTGAACATACCCTCCACCACCGTGAGGAGCAAAACCATGCCAGGACATGTCTACCAGGCCTTCCTCCTGCTCCCTCCCTGAGGCAATAGGATAACCATCTGTATACCACTCTGATATGTCAGCACTAAACACCCAGCTTGTACATGACACGCTTTATCTCCCATTCTGTTCACAGCCTATTGACACATGACAGTGGTAGCAGGACCTCAGCGATTTTCCTGATTTCTCCTGTTTATTCCTGATTTCCACTGGCACAAGAGAAATGGATCATTGCTAGGCATCTTTTTACAGAATAACTGGACCAACAGTGGGAGGGGAATGAGCTCACATTTAATTTCTGCTTGAAAAATATCGGTGATGAAAAGGCCTTGTGCTAAACTTCTGTGATGGTAGACTTTCACCCTGCTGGGAGTAGTTAGACCAGACAATTGAATAGCCCTTACTATTAAGAGCAGACTTAAAATATCTTAATCAATGCAATCATAAACACAAAAATTTAAGTGTAGCCGTAATCCTCATTACCACATGACACCATGCTCAATTTCACATGCAATTACCTGGATAGGCCATGTAATTATGCCACATAATTACTCACGCATTTTATGAATGATGTTGCATCTCTGCAGCTCAAGATGATGATGTAGCTCTTTCATTTCAACCAAAGTCCTGTGGCACATTTTCCACCATACACACATTCTCTTTTTTAAAAGCAAGGACCAGAAGTTGAAAAAAGTCATCTGAGAGCTCAAGAAAAAATTTAAGTATTGTATTTTAGGCACTGAATTTTGCTTTAGGACATTGGGATTAATTGATGAAATTTATTGGCAGAAGCTTGTTTAGAACATGTACATTATTACAAATGTAACCTGTTATTGCTGGTATCTATTAAACTTCTTAATATACTCTGGGCTCCCTCGCTGAAGGCATTAAAAGATGAACAAATAGGAAATTTCCAGGCAGGAAATGATACCAGGCCATGTTCTCAACTGCATCGAAATCTACTCAGTGCAGCAAATGGCAGGAATTACATTGTTGTTGGTTATAATTCCCAAATACACCGTGATAATCTGTTTCAGTCCCCGCATAGGTTTGCAATATAGACCTTATCATAGTTTACACTACGGAAAAGCAAGACTACCTCTAGAGGCCAGCTGTGTCAACTCTGGCTGTTGGACTGCTGCCCAAACTGTACAGGCAGTGCATGGATATCACCCGTAAAGACAAAAGCCCTGATACCCCGTTACCCTGTATTTTACTTTACCCTTTAATTGTGTTTGTTCAAACAGAAGTGCATATAAAATGCCGCAGGCCTGATTGCATCGGTCTGCAGTCCCATGCAGGGAGTGGGAGGAGAGTCTTATGACTGACTGATACTGGATTAATTTGTCATTCAAAAAAAAAAAAATCTCAAAGAGAACTATATTAAAAATATATTTCATGTGACCTCACTTGAAACATTTTATTCTGGGTTAGAGAGTTTCTTTCAATCATTTTATTGTTTCTTCGACAAAAAGAAAGCAGCTTTAAAACAAAAGCAGTTTGGAGAAAATAATTCAGTTGGAATAAAACGTACCAAAAGGAAATGCAGTCATTCAGTAATATGGTGAAACAAAGTCAAATTCACACCATGTTTTTCACATCCCAAAACAAAGGTATGTGCCAAAACAAATTTTGGTGATTAATATACCCACCAGAGTGCCAGGTCAGCTTTATTTTCAGTAAGTAATGTAGCCCTTGAGTTCCTACAAAACAAAGCCCATTGCAGTGAGTGCAAGATCAGCCTGAAACATTTGGGACAAAAAGTAAGGTAAATGGAGAGGTAAGCCACCTATGGAGCTATAATCCCAACCAGCAGCATGGTCTTTAGAAGATATACAGTTCTGATGGGTCCACTTTTCCTGGGAAGTGTGAGTAGCCCAGTTGTTCCTTGTGTGATATCATTTAATGCTTGCAGGTTGCTACATCTTGTTCTCTGTCTGGGACGAGGGTATTTGGACAAGATGAAGAGAGAAAACATACAAAGGCAATGCCTAGAGATAGAAATTGTAGTCCCTTGTCTATATAGTGTGATAGTTAATGTCAGTCTAGAAATTTTAACATTTGACTTTGTGTATGGGCTCTTGGTAGCCCATTAAAGAAAAATGAAGTAAGATGAACCCCCATCATGAGTTTTCTCTTGGGTGCTAAATCAGAACAGAGTCAACTGAAACCAAAGCTTTCTTTATTCGAAGGACATTGCAGGGTCTTACCCCCAGTGCTGCTC